CTCTCTCTCTCTCTCTCTCTCTCTCTCTCTCTCTCTCTCTCTCTCTCTCTCTCTCTCTCTCTCTCTCTCTCTCAAGAGAGAGAGAGAGAGAGAGAGAGAGAGAGAGAGAGAGAGAGAGAGAGAGAGGAGTCAGGAAGAGAGAGAGAGAGAGAGAGAGAGAGAGGAGTCAGGAAGAAGGTTGCATTGTGATTGGGCAATCACCCACACCGCAGCACAGCTATGTTTGCCCTACACTCGGCGTATGGCCACGTGAGGCTTTGGACAATTATAGGTGACCTTACGGGCCGCTCGGCTAATCATGCGAATAGCGACAAAATTCATGTGAGCTACGGAAGAATATGCAATGGGAAAGAAAAAAAAAAAATGCAATGATGTTTTTGAGAACTACCCGAGAGATGTGAACAAATTGGAGGCGACAAAGTGTGGTCAGACCGTATCCGTCAACATGGGAGGTTGCACACTGTGGTTAGACCGCATCTAATGATTGGGAGAATATATGGTATACTAGGTAAGATGAGCCCGTGAAGCTTCACCCGCACGCGTATCAAGTCGGTGAAATTTGGATGGTCCTTCGGAAGCCAAGTATGGCAACAGAAAGGAGTTGTGGGCCTGTGGCTGGTGGATTTATTTTTTCGGGGGGGGTGTGTGGTGGGCGGGGCGCAGGGAAGTGGTGGATTATTTGTTGTGGCATGCGACGCACAGGTGTAGAAAAAGGAGCACAGAGAAGATGGCGCGCAGGGGAAAACGAGGGTAGCAGGATGGTACAGCTGTTTTTTTTTTTTCCTGAATTTGTGTACGGCAAATTCCTAAGATCTGGCCAAACCCTCTCGAAGACTCCAAGTAAATCACTCTCCACGAGAGCCTCCTAACTAGAATCGTCGTGTTTTTAAACAAGGGGCCGTGCAGAGAAGAAAATTGTGGCGGCTGCTGACCTGCACTGCGGGACCACAAAGAAAATTGTGGCGGCAACCTGGCAATAATAGCTCATTCCAAAATGCCGCAACGGCGCCCGAGGTCTGGCAGCTCTGGAGTTGGGCAAAATATGAGATGGGATGGAGGAGGGGGAGAGCCGCGCGGTGGCTTAAGGACCAGTGGCACAGAGAGTTCTAAAACCGCTCAACAGGTCAGGTAGGTCGGGACATCCGTTAAACTACCAGTACCCTAAACACGTTTTTTGGAATGCAGAGTTTGCCCTGCCTCTCATGTTCCGACCATCACGGTTAAACCACCAGTACTTGGCCCAGCTATCGACCACGGAAAAAACAAAATAAAGAGTAGAAATGTTTCTAGTCGGATGAATTTGGGCGCTCCTGTAGCGGCCCGTACGTTTCCTAAAATCGTGGCGCGTTAACGGGCACGACTTGAGGACGTACTGGTGGTTTAAACATCCAGTACCTCCAAAATGGCTGGCGCCCTGCCTCATAAACCTGCACGTGTGTGGAGGTACTGGTGGCACACGTGCACGTTTACGAGGCAGGGCGCCAGGCATTTTGGTCTAGTGGGCAGAGGGTTTCCTTGGCGCTGTGCTAACACAGGGTAAATAAAATTTGTGGCTTATCCTAGGGGGAGACGCGCGGCATAGGGGGGGACGAGTACTGGTGGCTTGTCCTTGGAAGTTGTGGAATCATAAAGTGAAAATTGGCATGATGCTGTTTGTCTTTTGCAGTTACAAGGTCTGACAGATTATGTGTGCAGAGCAGGGTACCCCCTCAAGTCTAGGTCAGACTCCGTCAGAGTATATTGCAGTTACAAGGTGCAGAGCTTTTTTTTTTTTTTTTTTTTTGGGAACAGCAGACATTCATGTCGCAGCAGGTGCAGAGTAAATTGCAATGCAATTCGGAAACAAGGCAAGAAACGTCAGCGCTCTGTCATGAAGTCGTCTGGTGCCAATTGCGTGAATGGTGGCTCGAACAACCGGATTTCCAGTTTGGGAAAGCAACGGAAGTTACGGAACATGTCAGTAGCAGTTGCTTATTGTAGCTTTCGAAAATAAAAGTGCCATCTTTGTCAAAAAAAAAAAAAAAAAAAACGAAAGGACAGACACAAGCCGAGAAGTTCGAAGTTTTTCAGATGCCACTCAGATCCTGAAGGAGAATTTGTCAGATGCCACTCAAAGATGTGGTATGCGGTTTAAACTTCAAAACTTTAAACCACCAGTGCATCCGGGCCTGCAGGCGCCTTACTGCGCACCAAGCTTTTGCGGACTGCCAGTGGCGCATTTGTTTCCTTTTTTGAACGCCGCCACCAGCCATTAAGGTCCGGTAGGCCGAGCCTCGTACGTTTTTGTAGGCGACTAGTTTTCTTTTTGAGCAAGTCTGGGGTCGTCACGCACTGTTGGCCCTATGCCCCTCAAAGATTGGCTATTTGCAGAAGACCGCTCCCACATTTTGATATTTGCGTCATGTGCCCTTTTTTTGTCGGCATTGCTCAAATTTGGGCCAGCCTGAGGGACCTGGCCGTCGAAAAAGGCGAACTGGCTTCCAGTAGGGGCATATGGACAAGATGATGGGTCTGATCCACATGAGGGATACGTGGCAAATTTGACCGCTCTCAGGAGGGCATTTGGCGAATGCCCAATTCTTTAGCGACATCTGACAAGCACCTCGTCTTTTAGGTGACAAGCACCGCTTTCTTTTAGGGGCATCCGACAAACATCACATGTTTCAGGGGCGTTCGCCAAACACCACATCGCTTAGCGGCACCTGCTTTTTGCTGTTTTGTTTTCAGGGCGCTCAGTGCACAGAGATCCATGGAGTAGCCGCAGCAGTTCTTTGTCTTCCCCCCGCCCCCAAGAACAACAAAAAAAAAAAAAAAAACAGGAATCGAGAAAATCATGGAATATGCCCTTTATTCAAGTTTATTGCTCGAACTTTCTTTTTTTTTTTTTTTTTTTTTAACTTCGCTATGTTCTTCTCTGAGTTCTCTCAAATCTTTCATCATCTTTCAAATTCTTTCAATTCACCTTCACTACCTACCTACCACTTCTCCTAATAAGGCTTACTTATACAGGGGACCCCTGCAAACATAGCTTTTTGTTGTCTCCCTCCAGCCATCAGAGGGGCTCACTTTTTGTTCAATTTTTGCTCATTTTCTGCTCACTCTTTTTCTCATAAAAAAGAAAGGACAGTCAAGGGCATCCACCCTCGCTTGCTAGCAGATGCTGTCTTGGGTCCACAAATATTCCGTTCAGCCAATTTTGGAAAAGGACCTGAAAAATGCAAACCAGTTTTGAAAAAGACGCAAGCAAAAAATGCGACCACGTTGCGTACATTCGGAGTTCTACCCTGGCACCTGCCCCCGGGGGTGAGTTCCCACCACCTTGCCCCCGGGGGTGAGGTCCCACCACCCTGTCCCCGGGGGTGAGGTCCCACCACCCTGCCCCCGGGGGTGAGGTCCCACCACCCTATTTGGGTTATTGGTTTCTCGCTGAAGAATTTGAAGATCATCGGCCCAAAACAGAGAATACAGGTATGTGCAACCTCGCCCCTTGATCGCCTGTAGCAAATCCAATGCTACCAATTGCAGTAGTGCGACTATGCCCTGAAGATGATAGTTTTCCCTGCTGATCCCAATTGATTGGGCTCAAAAGACCCACTATTTAGGCGGGGGGGGGTGTGGGGAGAAGGAAACAAGGAACAAAAAACATTTTCCGCCACTTGGATGGAAGTCCGTAAAACTGTTAGAAGTGCTCCTTTTCTTTCTGGATGCTCAGTGCTGCTTCTCAGTCCAACCAACACAGGCTGCCAATTTATCTGCTGCCTTTGTCAGGAGGCCTGTCTGTCAGGAGGCCTGTCTGTCAGGAGGCCTGTC